TTTTCTTATAAAATCATTTTGTAACTTAATAATAAATCGAATGAAGTTGATTTTAAAAAATCCTTAATCTACGTTAAAAATCCTTTAAAATGAACCCAAACGTGACTATGTTATCTTTAAAACTACAAATTGTGTCAATTTTAACGATTATGTTTTGTTTTTTTGATCATATTGTTACAGTTCGGTTGTTTTAAAACATAACCTAATCGAGTTTGGGCTCATTTTAAATCATTTTTCATTGCGATTACGAATTTGTAAGAATTAAATTTTAATCATAATCGGTTTTCTTATAAAATCATTTTGTAACTTAATTATAAATCGAATTAATTTGATTTTAAAAAGTTCTTAATCTACGTAAAAAATCCTTTAAAATGAGCCCAAACACGACTATATTATCTTTAAAACTGAAAATTGTGTCAATTTTAACGATTATGTTTTGTTTTTTGATCATATTGTTGCATTTCGGTTGTTTTAAAACATAACCTAATCGAGTTTGGGTTTATTTTAAAGCATTTTTCATCGCCATTACGAATTTTTAAGATATAAATTTTAATTATATCCAGTTTTCTTATAAAATCGTTTTGTAACTTAATAAAAAATCGAATTAACTTGATTTTAAAAAATTCTTAATCTACGTTAAAAATCCTTTAAAATGAGCCGAAACACGACTATGTTATCTTTGAAAATAAAAATTGTGTCAATTTTAATGATTATGTTTTGTTTTTTTGATCATATTGTTGCATTTCGGTTGTTTTAAAACATAACCTAGTTGAGTTTGGGCTCATTTTAAAGCATATTTCATCGCGATTACAAATTTTTAAGAATTAAATTTTAATCATAACCAGTTTTCTTATAAAATCATTTTGTAACTTAATAATAAATCGAATTAATTTGATATTAAAAAATTCTTAATCTACGTTAAAAATTCTTTAAAATGAGCCCAAACACGACTATGTTATCTTTAACACTGAAAATTGTGTCAATTTTAACGATTATGTTTTGTTTTTTTGATCATATTGTTGCATTTCGGTTGTTTCAAAACATAACCTAGTTGAGTTGGGGCTCATTATAAAGCATTTTTCATCGCGATTACAAATTTTTAAGAATTAAATTTTAATCATAATCAGTTTTCTTATAAAATCATTTTGTAACTTAATAATAAATCGAATTAATTTGATTTTAAAAAATTCTTAATCTACGTTAAAAATCCTTTAAAATGAGCCCAAACACGACTATATTATCTTTAAAACTGAAAATTATGTCAATTTTAACGATTATGTTTTGTTTTTTTGATCATATTGTTGCATTTCGGTTGTTTTAAAACATAACCTAATCGAGTTTGGGCTCATTTTAAAGCATATTTCATCGCGATTACAAATTTTTAAGAATTAAATTTTAATCATAATCAGTTTTCTTATAAAATCATTTTGTAACTTAATAATAAATCGAATTAATTTGATTTTAAAAAATTCTTAATCTACGTTAAAAATCCTTTAAAATGAGCCCAAACACGACTATATTATCTTTAAAACTACAAATTGTGTCAATTTTAACGATTATGTTTTGTTTTTTGATCATATTGATGCATTTCGGTTGTTTTACAACATAACCTAATCAAGTTTGGGCTCATTTTAAACCATTTTTCATTGCGATTACGAATTTTTAAGAATTAAATTTTAATCATAATCGGTTTTCTTATAAAATCATTTTGTAACTTAATAATAAATCGAATTAATTTGATTTTAAAAAATTCTTAATCTACGTTAAAAATCCTTTAAAATGAACCCAAACGTGACTATGTTATCTTTAAAACTACAAATTGTGTCAATTTTAACGATTATGTTTTGTTTTTTTGATCATATTGTTACAGTTCGGTTGTTTTAAAACATAACCTTATCGAGTTTGGGCTCATTTTAAAGCATATTTCATCGCGGTTACGAATTTTTAAGAATTAACTTTTAATTTTGTTCCGCTTTGTTATAAATTCGTTTTACAAGCGAATAATAAATCGAATTAATTTAATTTTAAAAGATTCTTAATTCATATTAAAAATCCTTTAAAATGAGCCCAAACACGACTATGTTATCTTTGAAAATAAAAAATGTGTCAATTTTAACGATTATGTTTTGTTTTTTTGATCATTTTGCTGCATTTTAAACATAACCTAATCGAGTTTGGGCTCATTTTAAAGCATATTTCATCGCGGTTACGAATTTTTAAGAATTAACTTTTAATTTTGTTCCGCTTTGTTATAAATTCGTTTTACAAGCGAAATAATAAATCGAATTAATTTGATTTTAAAAAATTCTTAATCTACGTTAAAAATCCTTTAAAATGAGCCCAAACATGACTATGTTATCTTTAAAACACAAAATTGTGTCAATTTTAACGATTATGTTTTGTTTCTTTGATCATATTGTTGCAGTTCGGTTGTTTTAAATCATAACCTAATCGAGTTTGGGCTCGTTTTAAAGCATATTTTATCGCGATTGCAAATTTTTAAGAATTAAATTTTAATCATAATCAGTTCTCTTATAAAATCATTTTGTAACTTAATAATAAATCGAATTAATTTGATTTTAAAAAATTCTTAATCTACATTAAAAATCCTTTAAAATGAGCCCAAACACGACTATATTATCTTTAACACTGAAAATTGTGTCAATTTTAACGATTATGTTTTGTTTTTTTGATCATATTGTTGCATTTCGGTTGTTTCAAAACATAACCTAGTTGAGTTTGGGCTCATTTTAAAGCATTTTTCATCGCGATTACGAATTTTTAAGAATTAAATTTTAATTATATCCAGTTTTCTTATAAAATCATTTTGTAACTTCAAATAATAAATCGAATTAATTTAATTTTAAAAGATTCTTAATTCGTATTAAAAATCCTTTAAAATGAGCCCAAACACGACTATGTTATCTTTGAAAATAAAAAATGTGTCAATTTTAACGATTACGTTTTGTTTTTTCGATCATTTTGTTGCATTTTAAACACAACCTAATCGAGTTTGGGCTCATTTTAAAGCATTTTTCATCGCGATTACGAATTTTTAAGAATTAAATTTTAATTTTGTTCCGCTTTGTTATAAATTCGTTTTGCAAGGAAATAATAAGTCGAATTAATTTAATTTTAAAAGATTCTTAATTAATGTCAAAAATCCTTTAAAATGAGCCCAAACTCGATTAGGTTATGTTTAAAATTAAAAATTGTGTCATTTTTAACGATTATCGTTTGTTTTTTTGTTAAATTGGTTATATCTCGGTTGTTTTTAAAGATAACCCCATCGTGTTTGGGCTCGTTTTAATCGATTTCTCATTCCGATTACGATTTGAAATAAATCAATTTAAAAATTTGACTTTGATTTTTATCGAAGCTTTTCATTTACATTCCAAAGTGTGCAGAAATGAACAGGTGATAAAACTGTTTGTTACAATAGAGTTCTCTTCGTTTTAGACTTGATTACCGAGAGGCATAAATATTTGGTCTAGAATCCATCTGCAGACGACCGGCCGTCTAATAATATACCCCGCGACTCTATTTCTCTGTTGCTAAGCGGCGCGCGCGCGTTGCGATGAGTTCAATTTGCATAAGATCAACACGTTTTGCAATTAAGCTGAACCAATTATCTTTTTAAAGCAACTTTCATTTGTTATCTTGCTTTGGTCTTTGTTTTAAAAAAAAAGTGGAATTCTTCGTTTTTCTACTTTAAACGAAAAGATTAACTTTAAAAGCCTTTTTTTGAAAGTGAAATTTCTAAAGTTTGAAACTTCGTGATTGTTTACGTTTACAGAATGGAATGCGTAAACGATAATTCACAGTTCGACTGTGGCGGCTTCGCGTGCCAAAGTCGAGTACTAATCGGGCAGTTATTACGCTCTATTTCCGGACTCTATTAATATCGCCCGAGGGATAAATTTAATATACGTTTTGCGAGAATGGAATTTGCCCCGGGAATAAAATAGTATTCCAAGGATATAAAGAGATAGTCATAATAAAATGATTATTTTTTGTGATATATAATTTTGCTTCCCCGTTTAAATACTAAATACGGTTTTTCTTTGCACGAACGTTACCGAGAGTTGAACGACCCCTGACAAACGACGACTACGACGACGACGACGACGAGACGGATAGACACGTGCGCTCGCACGCATAGTAACTCCCGTTCCGTTTTGCTACACGCTTTTCCGTCCATTCATAAACGGCTTCCTCGCGACGCGACGTTCGTCCATTCTTCACTTCAAACCACTCAAACTTAAGAATAACTATTAAAAAAAAAAAACATTTAAAAGAAGATTTATGTAATATAAACGGGGAGGGTCACCCTTCGACCCTTAACGAAAAAAAAAGAAATTCTTAGAAACCAATTCGTCGTTTCTCGGAAGAAACTCATTTTTAACTCCCCCTTCTCTCTCTCTGTTTTTAACTCAAGAAATCTTTCGTGTACGCATTTTACACTCACACACACCGAAATGAACGCATACAAACGTAAAGGTTTCGTCTTCTCTTCATAAAATCGTATACAGAAGAAGAGAAGGTCTGCGCCCACCCAAGCATGGGAAAAGAGGAGGGTCGTCTACCACCGTTGAAGATATAAGTAGTAGAAGAAGTAGAAGAAGAAGAAGGAGCGGTGTGTATCAAAAGAGGGTTGAGGCAAAGCTATTTGAATTTTAGAGTGGCGCGGCCTTCTAGATTTTAAACGAAGATACCAACCAGGCGTCTTGGATATATTCGGTAATTGCCGGACTTCTACTAATGAATTAACCTCAACAAAGTGGGAACGATAAGAAAAAAGTATTATTATTAGTTAAACTTAACGAAGAGGAAATTTAAAGAAAAAAAATTATACTCACTTCTTAACCTTCATAATTATGAAACGGCACCAAATAAATCAGTTCTGGTGTGGCTTTGATCGATTTATCGAGCTTTATGTGTGAAGTTCAAGGTGTAAAAGGAGGAGGGAGAACATTTTTTGAACACGTCACGACCGAATGTTATGCCAACGATTTGTGTCTGCAATGTGTGACTCAAAATTATTACTTATCAAAAAATGGGGGAGGGGTGGATAAAGAGGAGGTATTGGTTGGCAATAGATAGCGTGTACCAACACGTAATTAAATTCCGGTACCGATAATGAAATTGCTGGCCTATTAGTCACTGTATTAAACCGTTTTTAGTTTCTATTTTTGAATTTTCGAGCTGATTAGGAAATGAGTGTGTTGAAAAAATTCATAGGGAGTTAATAATGAGTGGAGGAAAGAGGATTAGATTAAAAAATTGCATCGAAATAGCATATCTAATTAATTAAAAAGTTTCGAAATACACGATTTTGTGTAAATAATGATAGATTAAAAAATCAGTGTAAGAAGAAGAATGAGGTTTAAAAATTGAATGGAAAAAGCATCAAATTCCCCCAGTTAATTAAAAAGTGTCAAAATCGCGATTTTCTGCTAAAAATGAATGATTAAAGTCATATCATCTTGAAATGAAGAGTTGGAAGAACGAAACTTTATACACGATTAATAATGAGGGTCGAAAAGAGAATGCGGTTTAAAAATAGTATGGAAAAAGCATCAAATTCCCCCAATTAATTAAAAAGTCTCAAAATAACGATTTCTGCTAAAAATGAAGGGTTAAAAAATTATATCGTCTTGAAATGAAGAGTTGGAAGAACGAAACTTTACATACGATTAATAAGGAGTGTAAGACAGAAGATGAGGTTTAAAAATTGAATGGAAAAAGCATCAAATTCCCCCAATTAATTAAAACGTCCCAAAATCACGATTTCTGCTAAAAATGAAGGAATAAAAAAAACCGTATCATCTTAAAATGAAGAGTTGGAAGAACGAAACTTTACATACGATTAATAATGAGTGTAAGAAAGAGAATGAGGTTTAAAAATTGAATGGAAAAAGCATCAAATTCCACCAATTAATTAAAAAGTGTCAAAATCACGATTTCTGCTAAAAATGATGGATTAAAAAACCATATCATCTTGAAATGAAGAGTTGGAAGGACGAAACTTTACACATGATTAATAATGGGTGTAAGAAAGAGAATGAGGTTTGAAAATTGAATGGAAAAAGCATCAAATTCCCCCAATTAATTAAAATGTGTCAAAATCACGATTTCTGCTAAAAATGATGGATTAAAAAACTGTATCATCTTGAAATGAAGAGTTGGAAGGACGAAACTTTACACATGATTAATAATGGGTGTAAGAAAGAGAATGAGGTTTGAAAATTGAATGGAAAAAGCATCAAATTCCCCCAATTAATTACAATGTGTCAAAATCACGATTTCTGCTAAAAATGATGGATTAAAAAACTGTATCATGTTGAAAAGAAGAGTTGGAAGAACGAAAATTTACACACGATTAATAATGAGTGTAAGAAAGAGAATGAGGTTTAAAAATTGAATGGAAAACGCATCAAATTCCACCAATTAATTAAAATGTGTCAAAATCACGATTTCTGCTAAAAATGATGGATTAAAAAACTGTATCATCTTGAAATGAAGAGTTGGAAGGACGAAACTTTACACATGATTAATAATGGGTGTAAGAAAGAGAATGAGGTTTGAAAATTGAATGGAAAAAGCATCAACTTCCCCCAATTAATTAAAAAGTGTCAAAATTACGGTTTTATGGTAAAAATGAAGGATTAAAAAGTCATATCATCTTGAAAGGAAGAGTTGAAAGAACGAAAATTTACACACGATTAATAATGAGTGTAAGAAAGAGAATGAGGTTTAAAAATTGAATGGAAAAAGCATCAAATTCCTTCAATTAAATAAAAAGTGTCAAAATCACGATTTTCTGCTAAAAATGAAAGATTAAAAAATCATATCATCTTGAAATGCAGGGTTGGAAGAACTAAATGTTACACACGATTAATAATAAGTGTAACAAAGAGAATGAGGTTTAAAAATTGAATGGAAAAAGTATCAAATTCCACCAATTAATTAAAAAGTGTCAAAATCACGATTTCTGCTAAAAATGATGGATTAAAAAATCATATCATCTTGAAATGCAGAGTTGGAAGGACGAAGCTTTACACACGATTAATAATGGGTGTAAGAAAGATAATGAGGTTTGAAAATTGAATGGAAAAAGCATCAACTTCCCCCAATTAATTAAAAAGTGTCAAAATTACGGTTTTATGGTAAAAATGAAGGATTAAAAAGTCATATCATCTTGAAAGGAAGAGTTGAAAGAACGAAAATTTACACACGATTAATAATGAGTGTAAGAAAGAGAATGAGGTTTAAAAATTGAATGGAAAAAGCATCAAATTCCCCCAATTAATTAAAATATGTAAACATCACGATTTTCTACTAAAAACAGACTAAAAATGAAGGATTAAAGTCATATCATCTGGAAACGAAGAGTTGGAAAAACGAAACTTTATACACGATTAATAATGAGTGTAAGAAAGAGAATGAGGTTTAAAAATTGAATGAAAAAAGCATCAAAATCCCCCAATTAATTAAAAAGTGTCAAAATGACGACTTCTGCTAAAAATGAAGAAATAAAAAATCATATCTTGAAATGAAGAGTTGGAAGAACGACACTTTACATACGATTAATAATGAGTGTAAAAAAGAGAATGAGGTTTAAAAATTGAATGGGAAAAGCATCAAATTCCACCAATTAATTAAAATGTGTCAAAATCACGATTTCTGCTAAAAATGATGGATTAAAAAACTGTATCATCTTGAAATGAAGAGTTGGAAGGACGAAACTTTACACATGATTAATAATGGGTGTAAGAAAGAGAATGAGGTTTGAAAATTGAATGGAAAAAGCATCAACTTCCCCCAATTAATTAAAAAGTGTCAAAATTACGGTTTTATGGTAAAAATGAAGGATTAAAAAGTCATATCATCTTGAAAGGAAGAGTTGAAAGAACGAAAATTTACACACGATTAATAATGAGTGTAAGAAAGAGAATGAGGTTTAAAAATTGAATGGAAAAAGCATCAAATTCCCCCAATTAATTAAAATATGTAAACATCACGATTTTCTACTAAAAACAGACTAAAAATGAAGGATTAAAGTCATATCATCTGGAAACGAAGAGTTGGAAAAACGAAACTTTATACACGATTAATAATGAGTGTAAGAAAGAGAATGAGGTTTAAAAATTGAATGAAAAAAGCATCAAAATCCCCCAATTAATTAAAAAGTGTCAAAATGACGACTTCTGCTAAAAATGAAGAAATAAAAAATCATATCTTGAAATGAAGAGTTGGAAGAACGACACTTTACATACGATTAATAATGAGTGTAAAAAAGAGAATGAGGTTTAAAAATTGAATGGGAAAAGCATCAAATTCCACCAATTAATTAAAATGTGTCAAAATCACGATTTCTGCTAAAAATGATGGATTAAAAAACTGTATCATCTTGAAATGAAGAGTTGGAAGGACGAAACTTTACACATGATTAATAATGGGTGTAAGAAAGAGAATGAGGTTTGAAAATTGAATGGAAAAAGCATCAAATTCCACCAATTAATTAAAAAGTGTCAAAATCACGATTTCTGCTAAAAATGATGGATTAAAAAACCATATCATCTTGAAATGAAGAGTTGGAAGAACGAAACTTTACATACGATTAATAATGAGTGTAAGAAAGAGAATGAGGTTTAAATATTGAATGGAAAAGTATCAAATTGCCCCAATTAATTAAAAAGTCTCAAAATCACGACTTTTTGTTAAAAATGATGGATTAAAAATCATATCATTTCGAAATGAGGAGTTGGAAGAACGAAACTTTACATACGATTAATAATGAGTGTAAGAAAGAGAATGAGGTTTAAATATTGAATGGAAAAGTATCAAATTGCCCCAATTAATTAAAAAGTCTCAAAATCACGACTTTTTGTTAAAAATGATGGATTAAAAATCATATCATTTCGAAATGAGGAGTTGGAAGAACGAAACTTCACATACGATTAATAATGAGTGTAAGAAAGAGAATGAGGTTTAAAAATTGAATGGAAAAGGCATCAAATTCCCCCAGTTAATTAAAAAGTGTCAAAATCACGATTTCTGCTAAAAATGATGGATTAAAAATCATATCATTTCAAAATGGGGAGTTGGAAGAACGAAACTTCACATACGATTAACAATGAGTGTAAGAGAGAGAATGAGGTTTAAATATTGAATGGAAAAAGTATCAAATTCCCCCAATTAATTAAAATGTGTAAACATCACGATTTTTTACTAAAAATGAAGGATTAAAGTCATATCATCTCGAAATCAAGAGTTGAAAGAACGAAACTTTATACACGATTAATAATGAGTGTAAGAAAGAGAATGAGATTTAAATATTGAATAGAAAAAGCATCAAATTTCCCCAATTAATTAAAACGTATCAAAATAACGATTTCTGCTAAAAATGAAGGGATAAAAAATTATATCATCTTGAAATGAAGAGTTGGAAGAACGAAACTTTATACACGATTAATAATAAGTGTAAGAAAGAGAATAAGGTTTAAAAATTGAATGGAAATGTATCAAATTTGCTCAATTAATTAAAAAGTGTCAAAATCACGATTTCTGCTAAAAATAAAGGATTAAAAAGTCATATCATCATAAAATGAAGAGTTGGATGGACGAAACTTTACACACGATTCATAATGAATGTAAGAAAGAGAATGAGGTTTAAAAATGGAAGCATCAAATTCTTCCAATTAATTAAAAAGAGTCAACATCACGATTTCTGCTAAAAATGATGGATTAAAAAACCATATTATCTTGAAAAGAAGAGTTGGAAGAACGAAACTTTATACACGATTAATAATGAGAGTAAAAAAGAGAATGATGTTTAAAAATTGAATGGAAAAAACATAAAATTTCCCCAATTAATTAAAAACTGTCAAAATCACGATTTCTGCTAAAAATGAAGGATTAAAAAGTCATATCATCTTGAAATGAAGAGTTGGAAGAACGAAACTTTACATACGATTAATAAGGAGTGCAAGAAAGGAAATGAGCTAAAAATGGAATGGAAAAAGCATCAAAACTCCACAATAAATTAAGAAGTGTCAAAATCACGATTTTCTCCACAAAATGAAAGATTAAAAAATCATATCATTTCTAAATGAATAGTTGGAAGAACGAAACTTTATGTACGATTAGTAAGGAGTGTAAGAATGAAGATGAGCTTTGGAAATTAAAAGGAAAAAGCATCAAAATCCACAATTAATTAAAAAGTATCAAAATTACCTTTTTCTGTTAAAAATGAAAGAATAAACAATCATATCATCTTGAAATGAAGAATTGGAAGAACGAAACTTTACATACGATTAATAAGGAGTGTAAGATACAAGATGAGGTTTAAAAATTGAATGAAAAAAGCATCAAATTCCCCCAATTAATAAAAAAAGTGTCAAAATCACGATTTCTGCTAAAAATGAAGGATTAAAAAATCATATTATCTTGAAATGAAGAATTGAAAGAACGAAACTTTGCACACGATTAATAATGAGTGTAATAAAAAGAATGAAGTTTAAAAATTGAATGGAAAAAGCATCAAATTCCTCCAATTAAATAAAAAGTGTCAAAATCACGGTTTTCTGCGAAAAATGAAAGATTAAAAAATCATATCATCTTGAAATGCAGGATTGAAAGAACTAAATGTTACACACGATTAATAATGAGTGTAACAAAGAGATTGAGGTTTAAAAATTGAATGGAAAAAGCATCAAATTACTCCAATTAATTAAAAAGTGTCAAAATCACGATTTTCTGCTAAAAATGAAGGATTAAATTAAATCATATCATCGTGAAATGAATAGTTGGAAGAACGAAACTTTACACACGATTAATAATGAGTGTAACAAAGAGAATGACGTTTAAAACTTGAATGGAAAAAGCATCAAATTCCCCCAATTAATTAAAAAGTGTCAAAATCACAATTTAGAATTATAGATTAAAAAATCATATAATTTCGAAATGAAAAGTTGGAAGAACGAAACATTACATACGATTAATAAGGAATGTAAAACAGAAGATGAGGTTTAAAAATTGAATGGAAAAAGTATCAAAATCCCCCAATTAACTAAAGTGTCAAAATCACGATTTCTGCTAAAAATGAAGGATTAAAAAATCATATAATCTCAAAATGAAAAGTTGGAAGAACGAAACTTTACATACGCTTAATAAGAAGTGTAAGAAAGAAGATGAGGTTTAAAAATTGAAAGGAAAAAGCATCAAAATCCCCTAATTAATTAAAAAGTGTCAAAATCACCTTTTTCTGCATAAAATAAAGATTAAAAAATTATATTATCTCGAAATGAAAAGTTACAAGAACGAAATTTTGATTAATAAGGAGTGTAAAAAAAATAAGGTTTAAAAATAGCGTTGAAGAAGCATCAAAAACCCTACAATTAATTAAAAAATGTCTAAATACACAATTTTGTGCATATAATGATGGATTGAAAAAAATCATACCATCTCGAAATGATGAGTTGGAGAAACGAAATTTCACATACGATTAAGAATGAGTGTAAGAAAGAAGATTAGGGTCAAAAATTGGATCGATAATGTATCAGAGCCTCTCAATAAATTAGGAGAGAAAGAAATAAAAGGTAACTTTTTAAAACCCATATTGTTATTCGTTTTTTGAATGGTGCTTATTACTAATCATGTTTGAAGAAACTCATATGTGTGGATCATGTAGAACAATGATTTTTAAATCGAACAAGAAGAATAACATTGTTTGATATTAAGCTTCGTTCTTGAGATATTTTTGTAAAATACGTCGACATTGATTGATTTAAGAAAAAATATCTTAATTTCAAATTTATTTTTGAATCAGAAAAAGACGTTAAAATTTATTTTTTTTTCAAAATGATTATTAAAGTGGGACATACACTAAATAAAAATCATCCTTACACAATTTTTAAATTAGAATGTCCACGAGTTTATTTCCAAGGTTTTTCTTAACTTATTACATACAAAACACATTCCTCGACCCACTTTATTCCACCCCGCGCACATGATTTGATTTCCTCTCAAATCGCCAATTAAACGATTTCAAAGAGCTCCGTACAAAGTCAACATCATCGACGAATATGGAAATTTTTTCATTCTAGGAGGCGGCTGGCTCGCGATAGTGACGTCACACGGCAACAATGCGGTCGCGAACCCGGCGGCGGCGGCGGCGACAACGATGGCAATACTTTGGCCGTTATGGTCATGAAACGAAAGAAAGAGAGGACGACGACGACAGAGGCGGCACAGCCGGTGGCGCTAAACCATTTATGGTTAAACCCAACGTGAGCGACCGTGGTGTAGAGTGTGATTCATACCGCTTATAAGAGGGGTCAAAAAAATCTAAATAAAAAATATATATGTATAAAAAAATCATCCAAATCAATTTTTATTATTATTTACTTGTAGAAAATTAAAAATTCTTTGAAACGAGTCCAAACACGATGGGGTTAACTTAAAAATTAACGGAGATATAACCCAAAAAGTAATTGACATATTCAAAAAACAATTGATAATCGGCGTTTTAAAACTATGATATCTCGATTGTTTATTAATATAAATATACGTTGTTTGGGCTCATTTTGAAGGATTTTTTATGAGGATTATAGTTTTTTTTACATTAAATCGATTTAAGGAGAATTTTTTTACTTAATAAATAAATAAGAAGAAAGTTTCGCCAAATATAGACTTTCTTTGGTGGCGAGAACCAAAGAGAGAGTAAGAACGATGATTTAAGAGAGGAGGAAGAGGTGAAAGAGACGAAAGGAGAATCGAGTGTGGGAAAGAATTCCTCAATCGGCCCCGTTACTACTACTAACTGTGTGGAATGCGCCGGACCTTTTCACACCTATTTTCGAAAACAGATAAGGCTGTTTGTAAACAGACGGCGCGCGTGAGAGATCGAGGGAAAAAACAGGGGAGGGAGAAGTAAATAAACCTTTAAAAAAAAGGGACGTTGTCGAAAAAAAAAAGAAATAAATAAATATTAAAACCGGCTATCTAAGGCAACTTAATAAAATTAATTAAAACTGTCAAAATACTTCTGAAATCGTTAATTAAACTTTATGTAATCTTTAAACGTCCACGTGCGTAATAAGAGTAATTTACCGATCTCTAAAATCGACGATTATCACCACTTAAATAACTTAAAAAAGTTTTTAGGTGAAAGAGAAAACGAATTTATTTCGATTCAAAATGGCGCCCCGATATTAATCTATAATTATATCCATATTTAAATTTATCGCAACTTTATCGGCACCGTTTTGTAGAGAATGAAAAATCCTTTAAAATGATACCAAACACGATGAGGTTATCTCAAAAAATAACCGAGATATCATCAAAAATAACCGAAAAAACAATCGAGAATCGCCATTTTAAAAATGGTCTTATCTCGGTTGTTTTTAAAGATAACTTGATCGTGTTTGGTATCATTTTAAAGGATTTTTCATGAAGATTATGAATCTACTCTTAAAATGCCGAATTTTAGTTATTTTAAATGATAATATCATCATGTTTGGACTCATGTTAATGGATTTTGAATGTAGATTAATAATTTGTTAAAATGTATGTAATATAAAATGTTTTTATTTTATATTTATCAATAATTTTTGTTACTGCGTAGCGTGATTATTTATAGGTATTTTCCTTGACGGATTTCTAACCATTTATCAAGCGAAAAGTATGTATTCTACATCCAAGGCCCTGGCGGCGGCGCTACGACGCAAAAACCCCAATTCGTCGTCCGTCGTCGTCGTTAAACAATGGGCCTGCTGGCGGCATGAAGGCGTGGCGGCGACGTTTCGCTCTATTTTACTACTATTTACGAAGGCACAAAACGTTACTTGTGCTTGCTTTCGTTCATAGAAACGTCTCTCGGTCGACGACGAAACGGTAGATCGCGTGCTTTGCCATGTTACTTCTTGGTGGACATCGAGAGAAAGAGGGGAAAGAGGTAAAGGGGGAAATAGGAAAAGGAAACCCACTTCCGCATTATACAAAACTTAACTTACCAGCATTAAAGAGAATTTAAGAAATAAATTTTTAAACTTTATCAATAAACTAAAATTAATGTTATGTTGTTTTATTATTGATTAGTTTTAATCCACGTAAAAAGTCCTTTAAAATGAGTATAAACACGACTAATTTATTTTAATAAGCAAATGTTATAAAATTTAAAGATGGCGGCTTTTATTATTAAATTTTCTTAATCTTCATTAAAAATCATTAAAAATAACCCCAAACTCGATACAGTTATCTTTAAAAACAACGAAGATACGAGGGTTTGAAAAAAAGCGACTATCGATTGTTTTTTTGTGTTATCCGGTTATATTTGGGCAAGTTTTTGAGATAACTCAGTTGTGTTTGGTATCATTTTAAAGGATTTCTCATTTTCTATAGAATAGTCATCTTTAATTCTTAATTTTTTCAAAAAAAAACAATCAATTTTCACTTTGACATTTTTTGAAAATTTTTCTTATCATTTTTTTATTAAATATTCTTAATCTTTATTAAAAATCATTAAAAATAACCCCAAACTCGATACAGTTATCTTTAAAAGCAACGAAGATACGAGGGTTTGAAAAAAGGCGACTATCGATTGTTTTTTTGTGTTATCCGGTTATATTTGGGCGAGTTTTTGAGATAACTCAGTTGTGTGTGGTATCATTTTAAAGGATTTTTCATTATCTATAGAATAGTCATCTTTAATTCTTAATTTTTTCAAAAAAAAACAATCAATTTTCACTTTGACATTTTTTGAAAATTTTTCTTATCATTTTTTAATTAAATATTCGTAATCTACATCAAAAATTCTTTAAAACAACCCCAAACACCACATACTTATCATCAAAAACACCAAAGATACGGTAGTATAAAAAATTGCGATCTTCGATTGTTTTTTGAGTTGTTTCAGGTTGTATCTCGGTTATTTTTTGAAATAACCCCTTCGTGTTTGGTATCATTTTAAAGGATTTCTCATTTTCTATAGAATAATCATCTTTAATTCTTAATTTTTTCAAAAAAAACAATCAATTTTCATTTTGACATTTTTTGAAAATTTTTCTTATCATTTTTTAATTAAATATTCGTAATCTACATCAAAAATTCTTTAAAACAACCCCAAACACCACATACTTATCATCAAAAACACCAAAGATACGGTAGTATAAAAAATTGCGATCTTCGATTGTTTTTTGAGTTGTTTCAGGTTGTATCTCGGTTATTTTTTGAAATAACCCCTTCGTGTTTGGTATCATTTTAAAGGATTTCTCATTTTCTATAGAATAATCATCTTTAATTCTTAATTTTTTCAAAAAAAAACAATCAATTTTCACTTTGACATTTTTTGAAAATTTTTCTTATCATTTTTTAATTAAATATTCGTAATCTACATCAAAAGCCCTTTAAAACGACTCCAAACACCACATAAATAAATTTAAAAACACCAAAGATACGATGGTTTTAAAATGGCGATTCTCAATTGTTTTTTTGGTTATTTTTGGGGATATCTCGGTTGTTTTTTGAGATAACCCCATCGTGTTTGGTATCATTTTAAAGGATTTTTAATTTTCTATAAGATTGTATTAAAAAAAATTTAAAATGGTGAAATTTTTTATTGTAAATTCCACAAAATTGCGTTTTTGTCCCTTTAAATTTTAAAAGGAAGCTCGGATTATTCTATTCGGTAATTTATACCACGATAAGTTGAAAGCGGAATATTATTTTTTTTGTGGCGCCTATGTCGACAGTCGTTGATAATTTTCTGACGTAAAGCGATAAAAATTCCTGGAAAAATGATTTTTTTTTCGATTATTTTTTAACACTACGGAAGTTTATTATCGGAAATCGAACGGAAGAGATTAGAGGCGATGAATGAATTAAAAAAATACGATTTTGAGGTTTCTTGGGAAGTCGAAAAGTTTTTAACAGACCGCAAAAAAAAATTAACCAACTCTAGCAATTATCTACTCTACCGACCGAACAACTGAACGTAGTAGTCTCCGGTTATATTCGGGCGAGTTTTTGAGATAACTCAGTTGTGTTTGGTATCATTTTAAAGGATTTTTCATTGTCTATAGAATAGTCATCTTTAATTCTTAATTTTTTCAAAAAAAAACAATCAATTTTCACTTTGACATTTTTTGAAAATTTTTCTTATCATTTTTTAATTAAATATTCGTAATCTACATCAAAAATTCTTTAAAACAACCCCAAACACCACCTACTTATCATCAAAAACACCAAAGATACGGTAGTATAAAAAATTGCGATCTTCGATTGTTTTTTGAGTTGTTTCAGGTTGTATCTCGGTTATTTTTTGAAATAACCCCTTCGTGTTTGGTATCATTTTAAAGGATTTCTCATTTTCTATACGATTATCATATTTAATCCTCATTTATCCAATAAAAAACAATCAACATCGATTTTGACATTTTTTGGAAATTTTAGAAACAATTTTTTTATGAATTATTTATAATCTACATCAAAAGCCCTTTAAAACGACTCCAAACACCACATAAATAAATTTAAAAACACCAAAGATACGATGGTTTTAAAATGGCGATTCTCAATTGTTTTTTTGGTTATTTTTGGGGATATCTCGGTTGTTTTTTGAGATAACCCCATCGTGTTTGGTATCATTTTAAAGGATTTTTAATTTTCTATAAGATTTTATTAAAAAAAATTTAAAATGGTGAAATTTTTTATTGTAAATTCCACAAAATTGCGTTTTTGTCCCTTTAAATTTTAAAAGGAAGCTCGGATTATTCTATTCGGTAATTTATACCACGATAAGTTGAAAGCGGAATATTATTTTTTTTGTGGCGCCTATGTCGACAGTCGTTGATAATTTTCTGACGTAAAGCGATAAAAATTCCTGGAAAAATGATTTTTTTTTCGATTATTTCTTTAACACTACGGAAGTTTATTATCGGAAATCGAACGGAAGAGATTAGAGGCGATGAATGAATTAAAAAAATACGATTTTGAGGTTTCTTGGGAAGTCGAAAAGTTTTTAACAGACCGCAAAAAAAAATTAACCAACTCTAGCAATTATCTACTCTACCGACCGAACAACTGAACGTAGTAGTCCCTAAATCGAGCCCCCTATGTCTACACTAACCTAGTAGTCTCTCGGTCAAGCTCCCACATTCAAAGTTTTTTAACTGTTGCTCAAACAGTTTTTATTTAATATTATTACATTTTTAGCATGATTTAATTTTATTTTAATTATTATAACTCTGATTAACAAGGAATTTATTATTATTAAAAGTTTTAAAATGAAAAAGCAATGTTACAATAAAAATTCTTTGGAAAAAATGTAGTTTTTTTCGACTTACCTAATAAGTTTGTAATAAATCCAACGAAAGAAAGATTAATAAAATAAACCGAACAAAAATTATCGTTATTTTTTGTTAATTTGAAATTATTTAGTTTAAATCCACGTTGAGTACACCTCAATTGCAAACCCGTAACTACGAAAACTATAACGATATAACGACCGCTGAGCGAGCAAACCATATGTTTAAAGTGGGAACAGTACTCTTAATACTAAAACCGTGGACAACACATACTCTTATCCCACTTTGAAACGTTACAAACCGAACGTTCCCTCTTCGTTTTTAGTAGTCATCCCCACCATTTAACTCCCCACGTTTCGACGAATCTCGAACCGAAACGATCACGAGTTTTATTCATTTTTACTCGTTTTTACCCTTAAAATTCGTTCAAGGTCGAATTATTACCGAGGAAACACCTTTATTTAACCATAAACAATGAGATTTGACGAAAAAAAAATTATTTTTTTCCTCGGAAATTAACGAAAATTTCGTTTAAAATGTGTAAAGTCGCACCATGGGCGCTGAGGGGGGAACACGTAACGACTCCGTGTCACAAAATGGCGTAGTTTACGATCGGTTTTTGTTAATCGGGGTTTCTAGAAAATGTTTTTAAAGATTTTCAAGTTTCTTTTTGTTTTTGATTAATCGGAATTGATTTAAAATTGGATAAAAAAACGCATGGAATGATAATTGGGGGGAAAGGATTCGATTTTTTGCGTTTTTGTGGAATTTTATGTTACGGGGTGGTTTTTTTGGGAATTAGATGAAATTTATTGATTTTTATGATTTATTTTTGAGGGTTTGGTTGAGTATTTAGAGATGGGATTAAAAATGTGGGGGGTTTTTGTGGGGAATTGGGTTAAAAAAATTAGCGTATTTTAAGAAAATTTGTCGGTAATTATAAAATTGCTTATAAATAAATAAAAATAGAAATTAGGTTCTGAATAAATAAAATTGGAATTTCGATAAATAAAATACAAAAAAGTAAATAAATGAATGACGGGATTCAAAGATTTAACCCCTCAACATCTACGCCGCTGACTAAATTAAAGATTTTAGTATAATTCTTCTTGAAATATACTCCATGAAGACTTTAAGTTAAAAACTTCAAAAAAAATTTGAGTTACCCCCGGTTTTTACCCTGTGATATCTACGACACTGATTAAATTAAAGGGAATAGATACAAAAGGATAGATTTTGAGAATAGATACAAAAAACTATTAGCTTTTAAACGAAAAAACCGTTTTTAAAAATATCTCTTAGTTCTTGAGATATTACGTTTTGGAATTTATGAAAAAGATTGTTGATAAGATAATTTTTCGTTGCTTTTCAAAAAATCGCCAAAAATCTATTTTTTAAAGAAACTTTTTGAAATTTTTAAGAATTATAAAAGAAATTATCAGCTTTTTAATGAAAAACGCCGTTTTTTAAAATATCTCTTACTTCTTGAGATATTATGTTTTGAAATTTATTGGTATATATTGGTATTTAAAAAATCGTAATAAATCGATTTTTTATTTAATCTTTTTGAAATTTTCATAAATTATAAAGAAAAATGTCAGCTTTCCAATGAAAAAGGCCGCATTGAAATAAAACTTTTACTTTTTGAGATATTAACTTTTTAATTTCAATCAGATTTAGCTCTGCATCTCTTAAGACGGCTAAACCTGACTAATTCTAGTTCTAGGTCTTGTGTTTGTTCTAGTTTTGCACTACCACTATCATTAAAACTAACAC